ATATGTACATACAAATACACACACACACACACGTACACATACACATACATGTACACATACACATACAACTACTCGTACATACATACATACATACATACATACATACATACATACATACATACATATGAACATACATATATATATATATGCATGCATGCATGCATGCATGCATGCATGCATGCATGCATGCATGCATGCATGCATACATACATACGCACTTACATACATACGTATGTATGTATATGTCGCCGGGCAATGCAGGCTCTCTTCCAGGAGCTCCCTCGCCGAGCAGGCCCGACAAGACCAGGGGTTTCTGAGTACTACTGCTGATGATATAAAGCCCTTGTTACCTTAGGGACCCTAAACTATGGGAGTTAAGGTGTTTTCCTTATTATGGGTAAGCAGGATTTATATCTTCAACCGTCTTGTGATTTGCAGCATCAACCATATTGTCGGTTTTTAGCTTAGGGTTACCAATTAGGATATCTAGGACATACTGGGTTCAGGTCGTAGGTTTAGGACTTGGGGTTCAGGGCTTGTAGGATATCTAGGCTTCACGGTTCAGGGTGTAGGGTGTAGGATTTTGGGTGCAAAGGTTTGTGAGTTAAGGCAATAAGGAGGTGATAAGCCTGCTGGTGTCTTTCACTATAACGTATTTTCAACAGTGCATACGGCTACGCGTGTCATTATATCAAACGCTCATTCTTATAATTAATGCTGTATCTGTTCTAGCTGTTTGCTACTTGTATGTTAGTGCTGGTATCATGACTGCCTAGTAGCAGTGTTTTTGGCACTGATCCAGCTCTGTAGGCTTGTGTTACGGCTAACTAGCCGTGTTTTCACTACTAATGTCTGGGTTCAGGGTGTGTAAGACACATGAAGGCACATACCAGGATCCCCTTGTCCCATGCTGATAGGGCGTCTTGAAGAAGTCTAGCTTTGGACTGACTGGGCAAGGATCCTCGTAAGCGGCGCCCCTGCAGGCGTGGGAATTGCTGCAGCGGCGCGAACAGGCAGGGGCGTATATTGGATCGTCAATACTTGGAGGTTCATGGGTAGTTATAAGTGGGATTATAAGTAGGGCAACTTTAATTATAACCCATATTAGGGGCCTTATAACCCTGCTTATAACTACCCATGAAGCTCCAAGTATCAAAAACCCCTTTTGGCGTCTGCAAGTGCACCAGGGGAGCCCCAAAGAGCTGCAGAGCAGTGCCTCCTGAAAGCTTAGTGATGCCAGCCGATGGGTGCCGGATTCCACTTCCGCTGAGGAGCTTCTGAAGCCCCGAGAATCATGCAAAAAGCATGGATGTAGCCTAGAGGTGCCAAGCTGCCAAACCATCCTATACCATGCTATGTTTTCCCATAATATACTGCACTGCAATATACTAGTGACAGGCCCAGATGGACTTCGAACAATTCATCTTCCCCTTCGCGGCCAGAACCTTGGCAAAGGGTCTCGAAAGTGGTTGAGTCTGAAATGCTGAGTTTGCAAAAACCTACAAAGCCTAAACTATATGGGTCTGAACCGCTGGACCAGCAATCGCGGCTCTGGCCGGATAGAGCTGTGTATGATGTTTGAAGCTGCTCAGATGCCTAAACCCCGAACCTAATCCGAGGCCCTGAATCCTGGGGCCTACATCTTGAAGCCGGCACTTGCGTCTTACGAAGCCCAGCTCCGACTTAGAGATATTGATGGTTGCCTTGGGCGGTCCCTGTCATGCCCAATGCAGTTTGTGGCTCCAGGAAGCAGTGAAGCCATGACCGAAGTGCCCGTTGAGTGTATCGGCGGCGGCAAGCCGGCAGCGAACCCCTCGCCCGAATGCCCGCCAAGCTTTCGAATGGCTCTACATTGTGAAGCTGCACGGGAGGCGCAAAGATTCGTTTTGCAACGGCCGGCCATTTGTATCCAAACAGGCCCTACTAGACAACCACGCCTACTACTAACAAAACCTACAAGCGGCACTTGGAGAAGTGACTCTGGTTTCTTGTTACAGAGTGGTCGACAGTTTGAACCGGAGACTTGTGTCCACTGTCGCGATATTGTTGAATCCTGTTCTAGCATGCTCCTGTTGAGCATACACTACCTGCCAGCCATTCGGAACACCTGATTTTAGGGTATGCAGCCTATGTTGGGATCGCCGGTTCACATTTTTTGGTTGCTTGTGAGATGTGCTTTGCAGTGGTATGACTGTGTTAGTATGATTTCGGAAGTCCCGCCCATGATCGAAGCTTGACGTCAAATCCAGCAGAGGTGTTTGTCCAACTACAGGAGCTCGGAAGGGGGGGAAGTATGCTTTTCGGCTTGGGTCTGTTCTCGAGCACGCAGTGCACTGCCGTCATTTAACTTGAGCAACTTGGGATGCGGGGTTCCTTTTGCCATTGACCTCGAAGCAGGTGGTTGCCAAGCACTGCAAGGGGCTCTCTTGGGGTGCCTACTTCTGCCGGGCATGGGACCTCGCTTCTGTCTTTACATTGATGGTTGCTGCTGTTGTCACGTCGAACTACGTGTTGATTGCGGGGCTGCTGGTCTTGTTCCTCCTGGCGGTTGTTCGGGTTGGACTTCGTCGCACAGTCCTTTCACCCATCTTCATGCTGGTCCCAGAAGGCTCCTCAATCTTCGGCCTTGCGGATCACCAGCGGAGTGCTCGTTGCTTCAACCTTGTTCACGTGATTTTGAAGACGATGTGCTTGATGCTGGCAGTGTATGCTTTCCTGTCCACTTCAGACACATTTTCGAGCTTCCGATGCTATGGGGAGTCCGGGCAAGATTGCAGTCAAGCACCGGACTTCTTGCAAAGCATGTGCCGGGATGGGAATTTCAGCGCACCAGACTACATCTCCTGCACAGAGCAGCACGACTTCTGGTTGGAGGGCAATTGTAACGTCAATGCTGCTTATTGCCCATTCTATCACTTATTTGGCGAGCCAGAGTCTTCCCCTTCCTCTTCCCTCAACGATCAGTTGACAGATGCAGGCAGTGTGGGGACCCACCTCGTTTAAATAGACAACGCAAGTTCAAAGCCAGCTGCGAATCCGTTTGCACTGAGTAGCAGCTTATCAGACTAGATGCATGTGCACCCACATAAGGCTCCTTTTAAGGTTCCTCTTAGGGTCATTATAAGGGTTCTAGATTCTAGACCCTTACTTAGGGTGCCTTCAGGGCTCTGTTGCCCTCATTGCCAGGCTCACAGCTCGGTGGATTGTTCTTGTACTTGAGCCTCATGGTTGGGCCGTTCTTGTGTTTCGGGGGATCGCTGTGCTGGGCTGTCACCGTGGTGGTGCTCCATAAGAAGCGCCTGGACACAAAGCACTGATTGGTATTTGAGGCGGTTTAAGAAACCGATGTTGTTGTTGCTGCTGTGAACAGAACACCAGATCTTCCTGGCATAACATCAACATGCAGCAAGCTAGGGCTGATTCGACAGCAAAGGTGTCCCTGGGCTGCTCCTCCTTCTCCTACACTCCGCGAAGAAGTAGCGGCGGAGACGCAACGGCGTCTGACAGAATTCGATCCAAACAAGGCGTCAATGACAGGAAGAGCATGGATCCTTTTTGACTTTGGCTGCTTTGTCTTCGACATCGGAACAGACTTCAACACCTTGCTCACCTATGCGGCTACTAACAACACGGCCTTTTTCTTTGCACAGGCGTTTCTCTTTCTACTGGCCCTGATGACTCAGTGCCGCTTTGGCTTTCGAAGGGTATGGACCTCCTTCCAAGAAAGCTTTGCAGTGGGAAAGAGGCGGGACGTTCACTGACATTGCTGCAGCAGTCGGTATGAAGTTGTATAAACCCTTAGTGCTAAATCCTAAACCGCAGAGAAGAAGTAATGTGGGCTGGGTATTGGGCCGTGGTATTGGTCCAGGGGCGTCGTGCTTCCTGAGTGTATTCTGACACTGAAGAGGGGGGGTGTGTGTTGAGAACGGATACAACTTGGCTGGGCTCTACTTGTAACAACACAGTTCTAACTGTAGTTATAGCCAGTTGTCAGTCCTGTCGGCCATGCTTGCATTGGTGATGCATATCCACATCGTGGAAAAGATGACTGGGAACCATATCAGCGAATACTGGGACAAGGGGCATGCTTGACAGAGGAAAGAGGACAAGTAGGCAGAGCCGCTTGGCGCGACAATTGTGGTCGTCTGCGCCCAACCGTAATCGCATTGGCGCAAATGTTACGCAAGTAACGAATAGGGATCTCTACCAAATAATGTCGTTTCGTTATTATGATAGCATTAACTTAAACTCCTTGGCAAAAATCCAGTAACTTTCCGTGTTGGAGCTTCTGTTCGAACAGACTGCTTTGCACGCATAGGGCAACCAACCATCGAGTGCATGTTTTTGCTTGCAAGCAACAGAACATAATAGAACAGTAAGCCCACTACGACAGCCAGTAGAAGGAGTTGTGCTTATTTCAAGCCTGAGTGGAAGTTGCGCTCATTGCGGTGATTTCCTGCAATTTACCTGTTTGGCTGACACGCCTTAACACACGCGGAGGGCTTCCAGATGGGACTAACAGGCGCAAATGCGCCAGTCTGCGCCTTGAAGATTGGACCATGTTGGGGGGGGGGGGATTTCAGAACAGAGCGGTAAGCTTAGGTACTTAGATCCCATCATTCGGGGCCCTGATACAGAGGAGATTCTACTTAGGGTTCTGCATCAGTGTCGCCGTTGCCTTTATGCCCGAGACGGGACCAGCAGGTCGGATGCCTTCATGGAGATGACCCGCATGGAGAAGAGTTGTGAAGCACCGCTGGCCATGCTGTTGCAATACTACGCCTTCTGGTTCTTGGTGAGCAGTCATCTTGCCGAAAAATTGAGCAGAGCCCTAAGCCGTAAAGCTGAATGTGGTTTTGAAGCTATACCAGAAAAGCCTGTCTATTGTTTGTTTTTTTGCCACAGACGGACGTGTTGTTCATGTGAGTCAACTTCTCGTATTGCTTCCACTGATGGCAGCCAACCATTGAAACCTCCTTTGTCATCTTTCTCAGGCCGTTACGCTGTCTTCACGGCAGCCTTTGGAATGGCCTTGAGCTTCCGTGGCATGGTCTCCGGTTCCTACGAGCTGATTCACCTGAGCGTCGCGGACAAGCTGTACCACTCACAAGCTGTCCAGCCGGAACCGGAGGAGAAGCCAACGGCTTCGGGGTAGTGTGCAGCGTACATTTCCTAGAACCGAACCCAACTGGGCAAAGTTAAGTCAGAGTTCGCTGCCCGAGCCGGTTGATAAGGAACCGGTTCATGTCTGCCTAGCGAGTGCTAGCTCAGGTGCAGCGCGGGGTCAGGGCCTAAATGATTACCAATAGTGTATTGAGGTTCCTCGTCGCAATTATAGTATACTAGATCCCGAAACCCTGTTCTAATCATTTAAGGTAATTTAAGGCCCCCGGCATGAAAGAGGCAGAGAGCATGAATTCGGAGACTTCAGTTGGGGCTTCACCGCAAAAGCGGGGCCTTGCCCATGGAGACCGATTCCTGCACTGGCCTGGAGATCTACTATAGGGGCCTTAATCAAATCTTTCGGGACATATTCTACTATACGTACGGAATCGCAAAATGCCATTTTATTGGTACTTATTTAGGCCCCTATGTTATTGCTGACCATCAACCGTTTCACCGTGTGTGTTGGTGGCCTTCGTGAAGCGAAGCCATGCGCGATGCATCCCACAAGAACACACGGATCGCAGCAGCCGTTCGAATGACCAATTTGTCGTCGGACGCGTCTCTGCGCGCGATTCAGGGTCGAGCAAACTTGCCGCGAGCTGCAGTTTGATGGCGAAGTGTTTGTGTCTTCAGCTCCATCAATGTGTGGGATAAGTCTAGTCTGGTTGTCGCTGCTCAAGTTTTCGAGCCCTTGCACATGCATGTAAGCATGCATGCATTCTGACACATCTATGAGTGTGCCTGCATGTAGGTGTACATCGATACAAGTAGCAGCTAGATCACGGTAGAGCAGTAGACAGTCTCCAAGGGCTTCACTCCAAGCATCCCATAAATATTTGGTCATGCTGAGGCTTTGATTCACGTGCCCGAGCAGACAGCACCTTGACTCATCAGGGTTTCGGGTTTTGGGTGTGGCTGGGAGGATGGTGTGGATTCTCAGGGGGGGTTAACTGGGCTCAAAAGCCTGGGATTTCGCATGAAAAGCGGCATACTCAAAGCATCCTAAAACCCTAAGCCCTACACTCTTCCAGTAACCCTTGCAGGAAAGCTTACTAAAGCAATCCGTGCAAAAACGCGTGGAGGAACTCTTAAAAGGAATCCTACCAAACAGCCTTCAAAGACCACAGAGCTTTGCCGGCCCCGGAGCCCTCGAACTCTCAGTCGATGTAGAAAAAATTTGGAAACCGGATTAAGGACAATTAGTGCTGGGATTCCGTAACACATGACGCTTAAGGGTTGAGGCTATTTGGTTTCCAACTTTTGGGCTTCTACTGTAGGGCTTAGGGAACTACATGAAGCAGGTTTTATATTCGGGTTCAGAGTTCATGGTACATGGTACGGGTTTGGGGTCTTCTGTAGAGCTCAGGTTATCATAGGGTCCGACACGACAGAACGAGCACAACGGCACAGAGAGATCAGGAAGTAGGCTTTGAACTGTTGAGTAGGATCAGAGGCAGGATGCGCCAAAGTAAAGAGGCACTTAGCAACCTAAACCCTAAACCCCTAAACCCCTAAACCCCTACACCCTAAACCCTAAACCCCTAAACCCTGAACCCTAAACCGTGAGGCACTTAGCAACGACCCTCACTATTTGAGACCCCTGATCCCCTCAGTAGCCCTAGGTCCTCATCCCAAGCCCGACGCGGTTCAGGGCATGGGGTTTGATTTCTAGCGTGTAGGGTTTATAGGGTATAGGGTTTAGGGTTTGTGGCTGTTGGGTTTAGGGTTTTTGGGGCTGAAGGGCTTACTTGGAGGTTCATGGGTAGTTATAAGTGGTGTTATAAGTAGGGTAACTATAATTACAAGCCCATATTAGGGGGCTTATAGCCCTACTTATAACTGCAAGTAGGGTCCCTAAACCCTAAACCCTAAGCCCTAAACCCATACTAAAGGGCCCAGGGGAGCTTCAGAGGAGCTGCTGGTGAAGCGCCTTCAGCTTTGCCGGCGTTATCTGGCTTTGTCGCCCCAGGCCTCCCGGGACTTCGTGAAGCCCTTGGGTTTAGGGTTTAGGAAGGGCTTATAGGGTTTAGGGATTAGGGTTAAGGTTTTAAGGTTTAAGGATTAGGGTTTAGGGATTAGGGTTTAGGGTTTAGGGAAGTTTTATCTCTTTTGGGTTTATGGGTAGTTCTCTAGATTAGGGTCCCTTTCAGGGTCCTTTTCTAGTGTGGGTGCCGTGCTATTTGGGGGGACCTAGAAAGGGAGCGTAATTTAGAGGATTACCCCAATATAGAAGCCCAAATAATTTCGAATATTATTCCTCATGGTTCCCAAAACCCTGGTCTGATTATCAAGTCCCCTAGGGTTCGGGGTGTGGCATTTGAGGGTTTTGTGCTTTAGGATTTCAGCCTGCGTGCTTCAGCCTCCCTTAAGTAGGATGTTACAACGACCGAGAGAAGATCTATCGTTTGTAAGTTTGTAGGCTTTGCCCTAAACCCTAAACCCTAAGCCCTGTTTGATCCTCGAAAATCCCTTGAGACTTTCCTGCCGGACAGAGGTGACTCGACATCCGCGGATGTTTGCGGCCGAGGAACTTTAGAAAGCTAGTCTTGAGGAGTAGGAAGTCGACCCTGAACCCTAGTTAGGCCCTGCAGAACCCCAATCCTGGACTGCTCGACCCTGAAATCCCCGAGCATGCAGCTTACCACCGGATTCCAACTGGATCTCTCACTCTGTCAGGGCTTCGCCGCACCCGGTGCGCCACCGAGGTCCATGCAAGGGCTTTGGGGATGCAGCAACATAGACTACGAGACGTACATGTCTGTGAATATACACGCATGTTATGCTAGATATTTACGCCGAGATATAACTAACGACTTTGCAATAGCAGACCAGTTATTCCTGGGGGTTTGCCGTCTGTCAACCATCGCTTGTAAGTAGCTTTAGGTTTCGCGCATACTTAATCAAGGATCATGGGACTTAGTAACTGGGGTTATACATAAGGTA